GTGGCTGCCAGTGCACCTAGGCCAAGTAAAGTAGTTAATCCCACCCCCACCCCCCCCAATCATTTTTTTATTCACACAGCCCTTACAAAAGGTTTGTCTGAGCCATTCCTCAGAGCCTGGCTCCTCTGTCACTTTCCCTCTCAGGAGCTGTGCATGTAGAGACCTCTCCAGGAGCAGAAACAGGCCCTGCTGAGGGCGGTCAGACAGGCTTCCTGTGGCAGGTGCCACTGTCCTGTAGTTACAACTCTGCCACATCTTCTCCTGATGAGTCAGGTACCCAGCACCAGCTCTTGTGACTTTCTGGGTCTGTTCCTTCCCCTCACTTGACCCCAGTGAATCCCATCTGGTGTCCTCCTGCACCTGGTCACTGGAATATCTAGCACGGCCTAATGGTCAAACCCAACCTGACCTGCTACCCACACCTTCAGCTTCCATTCTTCACATCACACCTCTCACTATAGGAGCTCACTTCCAAACGAGGAGCTAATTGTCTGTTTTACTCTCTGTGCTGACACCAAAGCCTAAATCGGTGTCAAACATCTATTTAAAACTTACACACGGACTTGGGAAGCAAAGATCCAGAGAATCACAGTTCTAGGCCATCCTGGGCAAAAAGTTGGGGAGACCCACATCTCAATCAATAAGCCAGGACTGGTGACACATATCTGTAATCACAGCTATGTGGTATACATAAGTGGGAGGATCGAAGTCTGAAGCCAGCCCTAGGCAAAAACATGAGACCCTACCAAATAATAACTAAAGCAAAAGGGCTGTGTTAGACTGAAGAGAGGCACTGAAGGAAATGTGGGAGGTGGCTCAATGTCAGCACAGGTTTTATTCAGGAAAGAGCCTGCAGAGGAGGTCTCCAGCAAGAGAGCTAGAGCCCACTGCCATGGGCAGGCTTGGGATAGATACAGGGGGAACTGGTGAAAAATAACCAGAAGGTCACTGGGTGGGAAAATGTTCTTGTGGGTCACTAAAGGATGCTGTTGCTGGGCAATCAAGGAAGTTAAGTTGTGGTTAGGTCACTCGTCTGCTCAACTGTCCTTGGCGCCCACCTGGACATAAAGGTTAACAACTGTCCCAATGTCAGTTTTTGGGGTCAACTAAGGAGTTTCCAGTAAGCCACCTGTGAGGGGGAGGGGGTCTGGTCCTAACCTGGCTGCCCTTGCTGTTCATCCTAACAGGATAGGGGTGTGGCTCAAGTGGTAGAGCACTCACCCAGCAAGCACAAGGCTCTGAGTTCAGACCGAGTACTATCTGGTCTCAGAAAGAGAAAATGAAACCAATGCAAGTTGCTGGTACCAAACAGGTTTCCACCAAGTCACATATCTAACCCTGGCTTAGCTCAATGCTGCCCCCTTAAGGGCTCCATCTGGCAACCCATGCACAAACAGCCATTTTACTGGTCAGTTTTGGGTTTGTGGGCTTGGGTTTTGAAAAAAAAAATCTATGAAAATATTAAGTTTCGTGGGAGCTAGGCAAAATCTACAACATTCTCATGGAGTAAAACTGCCAAATGATGACCACTTCAACGATTCTTTTTTGTACAGTCTGAGCTGTCAATTTACTCTTTCATAGGATGAAGATTAATTTATTCTTGAAAGTCAGTCATTCCTTCATATTTCTCCCTATACTAGCTGCTTCTTCCTGCCACAGAGCACGTGCATCTGATGGCAGGGAGGTAGGCAGGAGATGCTAAGATAAACACAGCTCCCACCTGCCCCCTAACTCAAATTCAAACAATGCCCACTTGCCTGGAGTTTTGTGGGTAAGTGACAGGATTTGAGGTCTTCCCTCTGGGGGGAATCTTGGGGCTTTCTGTATCTTGGCACATTTTCCATCAGGAATTATATTCTTGTTTCACTGCTAAGCTGAGGTTGGGGACTGAGCAAGGAAGCGTTTCACTCCCACACAACACTGGTGACTTTGCCAAGATCTCAAGATCAGACACTCAATGAATTCTTCCTCCTCTTCTTGCTTTCTGATGCCAGGCTACTGCCCACGAGTTAAGAGGTGCTGTATCTCTTCAGATAAAAGGGTGACCAGTGCCTGGGACATAGGTGTGCTTCTGCAAGCCTGTGCCATCCACAATTGTGCAGTTGGTTTTCAGAGCTCACACTACATAGGGAACAATAGGCAAGACCACTGACAGCCCAGAATTGCCTTGCTGCCCTGAATTTTTTTTTAAAAAAAAAAGCATAAATATTAACTAGTTAGTAATATTGAATCTTGTTGAATGTATAATTGAAGCTAGATTTAGTGAAAAGATAACCATCTCTGTTATTTTTTGCTTCAACTAAAATTTTATAGGTTAATCTCTGCATCTTTGTTAATTCTTTTTTTCGGTGGTGCTGGGGTTTGAACTCAGGGCCTCACACTTGCTAGACAGGTGCTGTACCACTTAAGCCACTCCATCAGCCCTTTAGCATTGGGTACTTTCAAAATACAGTCTTGCAAACTATTTTCCCAGACTGTTTTTGAACCATGATCCTCCTGATCTCTACCTCCTGAATAACTAAGATTACACACTTGAGCCACAAGTTCTTCCTGCAGAACCTTCCTCTCATTTTCACCTAGTCAATTTCCTAGATCATCAGAATTTTTTGTTGTTATTGCTCTTCTTCTTTATTTTTGATGTGTTTGTTAATATTTTATTTTTTTCAAAATCCTACATATGTACAGTATGACCTAGTAAAAGCCAGCAAACCTCTGCTATACCACTCCCAGAATTGCTGTTCCACACAGACAACCACTATCAATAATTTGGTCTGTTTCTGATATCTCCTCAATATTGAGAAATGCTATATTTTTTCTGTCCTTCCTTGATTTTAAACATCATTTATTGACCTCCTGCTAGGAAGATGAACGTTTGATTCTCTCATCCCCCATCACCCAACCTGTTTCCTTCAGTCTCTCCATAACCCATTAGCCACACACAGTCTCTGAGGCACGTTGGGACACATTTGGTATTTGTGCTGAGGTGTATTCACACTTGAGCCAAGTAGAGTATTGTGATTCCATTTCCTTTCTAGCAATGCTTTGCTTGTCCTATAGCTGGTAATGTCTTTTAATAGCTGCTCTGATACTGCTGCAGAAAGACACTTATCCTGAGAAGTTCCTTCCCTTCTCTCTTGTTTCTGGATCCCTTGCCTTCCCCCCTCTTAGTTTACTCTCTGACTATAGCAAGCACCCTGATTCAGTTGGTTTGGGGACTATCTTTCATGATAGAGTTTTCCTCAAATACCCTGTGATCCTAGCTATCCTTTTATATTTCAGAATAAATCTCCAACTACTTAACTGGAAACTGTGTGTAGTGTCGATCCTCATTGTGAGTGAAGTAAGACACAAGGTAACCAGCCAAGCATGAGAAAATGGGCAAGATTTCTCTCATACCCAAATTTTGCTTTGTATATGGTCTATGGTTCAAATTCTAGACCAACCTGTGCCAGAGCAAAACAAAATATGAATGACTGTCTCTTATTTTAGTCCTTTTCTTTTGCTAACTGCTGAAGCATTCATGGAAACTTTAGGATAAAGACTGCATTTCCTTCTATCCTCTATCAAAAGCAGAGAGAGAAAATATACCACAGTGTAGGTCCCGTGTCTTTATGAAACCTCCAGATAGTCTTCAAATTTTAAGGAAAAATATTTTCAACTCTCATCCATCCAGTCATTCATTCACTCAGTAAATATTGAAATATCTACCATGAGCCAAACACTTTGCTACCCTCTGAGTCTACAAGTGGTGAAGAAAACAGAAATCATTATTGTCCTCATGGAGGTGAACATCTGGTGACAGAGACAGATAATAAACTAGTAAGCCAGCAAATAACTGTGTAATAACAAATTGTGATAAGTGATTTGACAAAAATGAGCTGGCAATTGTTAAAAGATCAACCTTGGAGCCAGGTGCAAGCAGCTCACACCTGTAATCCTAGCTACTTGGGAGGCAGAGATCAGGAGGATCATGGTTGAAAACCAGCCTAGGCAACTAGTCCAAGAGACCCTATTTTGAAAATATCCAAAAAGGGCTAAAGGAATGGCTCAAGTGGTATAGTGCCTGCCTAGCAAGCATGAGGTACTGAGTTCAAGTCCCAGTACCACCATCAAAAAAAAATCAATGTTGGGGCTAGGCATGGTTCCATACCTATAATCCCAGCTAGACAGGAGACAGAAGTTGGCCTTGGACAAAAATCGAGAGTCTACCAGAAAAATAAACTAAAGTAAAAAGGGCTAGAGGCATGGCTCAAGTAAGTAGAATGCTTGCATAGAAAATGGAGGGCCCTGAGTTCAAATCCTAATATTAAATAAATAAATCCTGACATGTTGACATTTTAAAGAGTTTGAGTCAACAGTGATTGATAAATCAGGCAGTCCTAGACCTCAAGTAGTTAAGGGCTCCTCGGGGAAAAACATTCATACAGTGCTCATCAAAGCAAGACAAAATATTTGACTGGTTAAAGTGGAAAGTCCTGAGTTAGAGGGTGGCTGGTGCTTTCTTATTGGTTAAGTTATTCTGAGTTGAGTTTCTGTTTGCATATATGAGTCCAGAACACTGGAGCCATCTCAGCCTAATAGCCTCTGAGCTAATTTTTTGAAATAGTACAATGACTATGAATAAGAGGAAAGATCTACTTCAATATGGTGGTCAAAACCTCTGTAAGGAGATGACATTTAAGCTGAAGCTGGAGCCTCTGAACCCAGTTACTTAAACCTTAACAAAAAATTAATAATGTATGTGAACAGTGCAATAACTTTATTAATTTTTTTACATTTCAAACCATTCAATTTTTCTTAAGTGGATAAACTTCCTTTCCTTCATGAACATTTTGAAACATTAAAAAAACCAGATTGTTTTAAATAGAAGAAATGTAGCATTTTCTTGGTAACTTTGAATCCACATCCCTTTCTCACTCCACCAGGAGTCGCTGACCTTGGTAGGGCTCTTCCTTCAGAAATCTTCACTTCTGTGTCTCCAAGGTGACTTCCTGCTTATATTATTATTCTTGCCTTCTCGAAGGTCAGCTCAAATCTGTTCAATCCTCAAAGATCCCAGCATCAAAAGGAGAAGAAATTCTTTCCTCAGGGAGCAGGGAAGGAAGGAGGCTGAATAAACAATGACCATGGATTAGGGAAAGAAGGAAAGATGAAATGGGAAGACAGGGAGATTGAGGGAGAGGGGTGGTTTTCAAAGAAAAAAGCCAGTGGTATGAGTGGGCTGGAGACCCATTTAGGAAGCAGAATCTGGGGATGGGGTTGGAATATCCTCGAAGCCCAAAGAGAAGGAAGAATGTAAACGTCCAAAACTAGTCATAATGTCTCTTTATGTTCCATAACACCCAGCACATATATTCCTTAAAAACTTCCTTGTCAGACCCACACTTTCAACACCTATTTATTGCACGTTGTGTTGGAGATGCTGAGGCAGGAAGAATGGGCTTTGCTCACAGTCTTTGCTAATGGAAAAGACAGAGATGTGTAGAGCCCACAATTCAGCACATTCAGTGTTATAACTGTACAACACCGCGCCGCTTACAGTCATTTGCTAGAGTTAACTGGAAGACAAACGGTCACAAAGCTAGCCAGATGCAGACTGTAACCACTGCACCACTGCTACCTGTGAGTTCTCTGAGGCATGAGAAATTTATTCACACCTCTTCTTCACTGGGTCTTCGGTGGCTATAAAACACAGGTACATAAAAGATGCTCCTTATAAACCTGTTACTAGAATGAATGAATGAATAGGTCTTAAAATACTTCTACCTTTGACAGAGGGTAGATATCAAAAGGTTGTTTTATTTTTAAAAATTTATTATCAATGCTATTTTTAGTTGATGCGTAACTGTATACACATATGGGGTACAATGTTGATGTTTGATATATGTGTGTTTGTGTGCATTGTTAAATCAAGTTAAATAACATATTCCTCACCTCATTTACCTATCATTTTAATGGTAAGACACTTGATATTTACTCTCTTAGATATTTTGAAATATGCAATATTTTTGTGGTGTTGGGAATTGAAACCAGGGCCTCATGTATGCCAAGCAAGTGTTTTACCCCTGAGCCATATCCCCAGCTCTTATAACACACTTTTATTGATTCTAATCACCCTGCTGCCCAGTAGATCTCGAAACCTACTCCTCCTGTTTATCTGAAGTTTTGCAACTTTTGATTAATACCTCTTCATTCCCTACAGTATCATAGGATTTTAAGCAGAAACGTAGCACAAGCATTCCTTAATTCAGAATTAACCCTCTGTCAGTGCAACCAAGAAGAAGACCAAAGAAGGAGGGAGTAGTTAGAAGGCCATGGCAATTGTTCAAACCAGAAATAAAGAGAAAGTGAGCAAGGGCCTGTAGTAGTGGGGAAGAAGAGGCCTCTAAGTGACACCTGGATTTGTGCCTTGGGCAACAGAAAGAAAAAAAGGGGGAGTAGAGAAGGGGCTGAGCATGGGGCAGCATCCATCCTGAGCAGGAATGTGACGCAGAAGGGAAGGGCCCTGGAGAGAGCTGCCCAGGTGACTGAGGAAAGCCTGCCCAGGTGTCAGAACTCAGGACTAGGGCACACCATTGAAATTAATAATCAGGATACTGCTGGGGGCAAACCAGCAGCAAGGGATTCGAGAGTAAATGGCTGAAGAACTGGAGACAGCGGAGACCATCGTTTCAGAAAACAACTGAGAAGAGGAGAGAGTTGGGGTGTGGATGGATGAGATGGTTTTCTGCCGTGGCCTGTGACAGAGTTGAAAGAAGAAGCCAGGGGATGTTCACATTTGCCTAGCAGAGGAGCTCGGCCTTGGATTCCTCTCAGAGCAGCGCTAGGCAGGGAGGGGCTGAGGTGTCTCTGAGGACACAGCCAAGAATGTTTGGGATCCCTCCTCAGGGGGTTCTAAAGGACTGAGTGGAGATAGGTAGCATCTTCCGTCAGGGAGTCCCAGAAACAAACCAAAACCCAGCTGAGTCTGCAGCAGGCTGAGGCATGAAGATGTGAGGCTGTCAGAGAGGGACAGTGGCTCCAGAGCTCTCATCTCCTGCCACCTTGGAGACACTCCCTGTTGCAAACTAATACCCATCCCCCTTCCTCAACGGCTTCTAGATCCAAGAAGAAGGCAGGCAGGGATGCTGAGAACCAGACCCAAGGCTCACCAGGAAGAGCAGGTTCACTGAAGAAAGCCATTACCTGAGCAGAGGGGTCTGGTGGAAACGGAGCTAGAGTTCTGGCTAACGGGGTTTTTGGCAGTGCAGTAGTAGCTGTCGCTGTCCCCAGATCTCCAGGAGACACTAAGAGTGGCTCCCCCATGGGACACCACTTGCCCCCTGGTCAGGGGGGTCCCAGCTGTACTGAACATCCTCTCCAGCCTGTTCCAGGAAGCAGGTCAGGGTGATGAAGCAGGTCTTGTCCCTCATGATTTGGGAGCTGGCAGTGATATTGGGCTTCTTCAGCCTCTCTGTGCCAAGAGGAAATGCTAGAATTATGAGAAAGCTCTGGTCCAGTCAAGCAGGGGAGAGGAAAGGTGAAAGAGCAGTTGTGAACCCCTCCTCACCATAGACACGCAGGGTGAACTCCTTGGTGATGTTGACTGGAGGAGTACGCAGAGTTATCCAGGCTCTATAAAGGCCAGAGTCCTGCAGCCACAGGGGGCTGATCTGAAGAGAATAGCCATGGTGGGGGGTACTCAGTCGTCTGCTAAAGGATCCCTGTATGTCACCAACCTGGACTGATTTGCCTCCTGGTTCTGGTTGCAAAACAGCAACAAGCCCTTCAGAGCTCCATGTGACACTTCCTACCTCCTGATCCACTGGGACCTCCAGTGGGAAAGTGGCTGACTCCCCAAGGGTGCCAATCACTATCTCCCCTGCCATGTCCTCTAGCAGAGTTCCTGACCCTGCAGGCAGACAAAGGAAAAGAGAATGTCAGCTTCAGTGTCTCCCTACCCACTCTGGGCAGCCCCAGGCCCCCTCTAGCCCAAGGCTCCTCCCACCTCCCCATCAGCTCCAGTGGGACTTCTTTTTCTACTTCATGACCACATAGGCCCAGACCCACTCCTAGCCTATCTTGCCCTCTCAAGGGTGGTATCCCCCCTCCACAGGGCCTGCAGGGGACCAAGATTCCTTCTCCACTTTCTCTGCCCACTCCAGAACTGCTAGGCAAGGTGCTTGCTGGGGTCACTTAGAGGCAGGCTGAGGAGCCAGGTACCTATGCAGAAGCGTGGCACTGAGACCAGATGGGAGGTGCTGTTACTGACTGGGTTCTTAACTGTGCAGGTAAAGGTCAGATCACTGTCCCCGGGCCTCACGGAGACACTGAGGACAGACCCTCCTTGGGACACCACAGTCCGGGAACCCAAGGATGTCCAGCTGTAGGTGGTAGTACATCCTCTGCTTTCTGTTGCACATGTCAGGATGATGATGCAGTGTCCATCCTCAACCGTTCTGGAGCTCAGTGTAACACGGGGCTGGGCCAGTTGCTCTGTGCACACAAAAGGAAAAGACTGAGGACCGGGAAACCCCTCTGGGCCTCCACTTCACAGGGCATAAAATCACAAGGCGTTGTCACAAAAACCCTGTGTCACAGCTGTTCCATTTCACAAGCTCAGAATTCTTACTTAGGTAATTTTCCCAATGTCTCATCTATTTAAATGGTGAATCCAAAACCCAAATGCCATGATTTGACCCCCAAGCCTGGGTTCCTACCCCTGCACAGAATAGATAAAGGCCTACAAGCATGGAGCTGTGTTGTAATTACACCTTTCCCCAGAAGGAGGCTCCACATCACACACTGGACTGCTAGGTCCTGAGCAGGGTTGGTTCTCTGAGCCTTTGAGGTTCCTCCCACTCCCTTGGACCTGCACCCCATCTCCTCTTTCCCTAGGCCCATACATCCCATGCTCTTCTTCAGGTGTCCACATTGCCATTATCTGCCAGAGCCAGGAGCACTGCAGGAGGCAGCAAAAGCAACTGCTGATGACAGATGACGAAAACAGGCTCAACAAGATCACAGAGCCTGAGAGGTCACTCTGATATTCAGCCCCAGCCCTGTGGCCCAGCCAATTGCAGTCCCAGAGGCAGCTCAAATGTAAAAATAGGATCACACAGGCCAACTCAGAGTGTGTCCTGGGAGAAGGCGACCTGAACTTCCATTTATAGGTGACTTTCTGCTGCCTCACCCCAGTGTATCTTCTGTAGGGTAAAGTCTTCCCCCTTTGACTTCTGCAGGTCTTCTCCTCATTGTCTTCACAAGCTCAGGCAGCTACACATGGTGACATGCCGGAAACTCAGAGAACAGAGCACAATGTCTGAACCTTCTAGCTGTGTTGCAGGTGTGTAATTTTTCCTCTCTGAAGCTCAGTTTTCTTAGCCTAGAAAAGTCCCTGGCCTGCCTCCTGGCTCCAGTGACATGGGGAATGCCCTATGAAGAATTAAAAACCCAGCCCATTATCATAGCTGTTAACACTGGAGTCAGCACAGAGGGAAGGGCTTTGTGGAAGACCCCACCCCTGACCAGTCAGCACAGCCTTTTCTCCTGCACAGAGCTTTACCAACTAGTCCACAGAACTAGTACACGGGATAACCTCATCTTGCCTGAACATCTATCAGCATAGCCAGAGGGCTCTCCACCAGCTTTGGGCCTATGCCAGGGAGCTATCCTACACAGATTCTAGTAGCCTCACCCCCAGAGTTGCAAAGATCAGGGCATAACCAGTCCAGGTCTGATTCATAGCCAAAATGCTTCCTCCTCAGCCAAGTACACCTGACCAGGAGGCACCAAAATAATGCCTCCATCTAAGAGGAAGATTTCCTGCCACACAACCCAAAGAAAAGGAGAAGGCTCTGTGCCTTCCCCCCCATCAGTTAGTTTCCCCATGTCTACCCTCACTAATCTGTACCTTTCCTTTATCCATTTGGGAGAATGGCTCTGCCATGGCCCCCTGAGACCTTGCACAATTCTCCCAGGCAAAGCTGGAACCACAGCTAATCCCAAGACAGGAAATGACCAGTAGGCTGTGAGGCACTGCCTCAAAGTCAATTCTCCCTTGCCCATCTCACTCTGGGAGGCCATCATGAGACACTTCCTCCTGGTGTGGGCCCTCCATCGAGCTGAGCTGCAGACCATAAGACCTCCTGGCTGCAGCCCAGACCAGGCTCCTCAGCATGGGGTGTTCACCACTTGAATACTCTCATAGGCCTGTGTCATCTTTGCAGGTGTGTGGGACAAGGACCCAGGGGCTTGGAACCTTTGGTTACCCTTCCTTTCACTATCTGTTTAAGTAATAAATGGTATGAATCCAAAAGTGGCTCATGGTGTCTTTACTGGCCAGATTAGCCAGGTGTTGGCCTTTTTGGTGCTGTGTGGTGCTCCACGCTTGCCCTTATTGTTCTCTTGGTAGTTTTCTGCTAAAATGTTTCAAATTTTCTTTAAGGAATATAATAGCTTCCTCCTTGCATCTGTTTGCTCTCAGAGGAAGATTGTGTTCCTGTTTTAGCAATGCAGAAGCTCAAAGTCCCATGAGTAAGTTGGGGAAAAACCCAGCTCTCAGGGTCTGAAAAGCCATTCCCTATCCACTGCTTGAGTAGGAGTTCTGCTTCAACTGGTCTGAGGCAAGTCCTGGACCTCCTCTTTTTTTTTTTGCAGTTTGAACTCAGGGCTTTGGGCTTGCTAGGCAGGTACACTACCACTTGATCCATTCCTCCAGCCCTGTTTTGTGTTGGGAATGAGATAGGGTGTTACGAACTATTTGCCCGGGCTGGCTTCAAACCATGATCCTCCTGATCTCTGAGTAGCTAGGATTATAGGTATGAGCCACCAGTGCCCAGCAAGGGCCTCTACAGTTTTTAGATTCTCCCCAGCAACTCTATACTTTTCTTTTTTACAGTGAGCAAACATTAGTCTGATGCTGAGAAATAAAATTGTATGTTACTAGAAGGCTGTGATAATGACTGAGAGTCTAACATGGCCCTCATCCACTTACCCCAGGACACTCACCACAGACTTGCAGGCGATACTCCCGGGTGTGGGTGACATAAGAACTCCTGAGGTCGATGTGGGCACGATAGGACCCTGAATCCTCCAGACTTAGATTACTGATGTGCAGGGAGTGGCTAGGGCCCACAACACTCAAACGACCCCAGTACCGGGTTTCCGCCTGGTAAAAGGTGTGTGGCCCTCCGGCTTCTACCACTGTGATGGAAGCGATTGCCCTGGGAATTGAATGGACCATCCAGGAGATACTCTCTACCTGCTGTCCAGGCAACAGTTCCAGGGGCAGAGTGACAGACCCTCCTAGCATCCCAGTTACCACCAGAGGTGCTAGGTCTTCTCTGGTGGTCGCTGACCCTGTGGACACAGAATAGAAGCTTCAGGGCATCCTGACTAAGCCAGATGGTCACAATAGGTCTGAGAGTGAGTCAGGGAAGGAATTGTTGCTCCCATTTCATAGATGAGAAAACAGAGACCCAAAGAATTTTGGTGATTTGCTCAGAACCGCACAATCTGATAGTGACACAGAGCACGAGCAAGTACCTGGCCTTCACAGGAGAGGGCCTTGCTTCAGAGTTGAACTAACTAACATAAAGTGAAATGGTTGCCTGAATGCTACCCTAGGGCTTGCACATGCCAAGTGGAAGGGAAGGAAGCAAATTTTGGGGAGGTACCTGATGTTCCCCTCTGCCACTCTGAGTCATGCTTCTGTGACAGATGAGCTAAGGCCAGAATTCAGAGTCCAGCCCCATTTCCAACAGGGACTGCCTTGTGGCATCCCCAGAGCTGCTTGTCCAACCACTTCTGAAACAAAAGCCAGCTCCTCTGAGGCCCAGCAAGGATCGCTGGGAGCATGTCTTTGTGGAGCAGAAAGATCAGTGCTGTGCTGGCCACGCTGGTTTAAAGGTACTCAGTAGGACAGTCATTAGGATCCCAGCCTATCCTGGATTTGACAGAAGAGTGTAAGACCAGGAGGATCACCCAAGTTCAAACTTTCACTCTTATAGGCACTGTGTGATCTCAGGGAAGTTACTTAACCTCAGATTTCTCATCTGTGAAACAGAGAGTAGCACCTAGGATTTTGTGAAGGTTACATGAAATAAGACAAGGAAACACTATTCATTATTCCCTGTTAGCATTCACTGTAACTATTATAGTGAATTATTATAATTGACTAGAATTCCTTATTAGTATTCTAAAAGATTCTTGCATCTCACTGAAACTAGTCAGTATCTTGTAGAGACACTTTTAAGCCACTCCTCATTAGTGTGACCCATCTCTGGTAGCGGTATTTTTGTCACACAGACATGCAATCCCAGGAGCAGAAAGGCTGGAAGCTGACCAAGGTCTCCACACAGTCATCTAGAGGAAAAGGGCCTCATAGCTCAGGAAGGGGGTTTGGGTCTGATTCACACTTGGAACCAGAAGTGCTGGCCACATCACTGCAGTTAGGCCAAATGAGGAAGCAGGTCCTTTGCTAAAAGTTAAACCGAAAAGTCCTGTGATAATAACTGTGGGTGTAAGTAGTGGGAGGCTGAGGCCACCTTGTGGGGGCCGTGCACACCTCTCTGGGTAACTGCAGCACCTGGTGCGCTCACCACTGAGCCCGCTGAACCCACCGGAAGCCCCTGTTCACTTCTTCTTTGCTATAAGCTGGTGAGAAGCATCCCACAGCAGTGTGGTACAGACCCCAACACCTTCCTCTCCACACGCTGGGGCAGTCTGAGATCTGACCAAGGGGAATCCCACTTTGGGTAAGCAGCATCCCCAGCACAGTAACTGAGTGGGCATGGTTCAAGTCCCTCTCCCTTCCTGCAGCCTTGTCCCAGCTTCTACTTTTAAGCCAGCCATAGCTTCTCTGGGTTTCTGAGCTTTGTTGGCTAGTTTTGTTTTAAGCTTGTTCTTCATTCAGCCTCATATAAACAGCTGTGTTGTGTGTCCTTCCCCAGAGTCCATGGGCTACCCAAGGAATGGAGAAGATGGAAGGAACAGGATTCTGTTGGTAAGGTAAAGTCAGGCCGGGTGAGTCACCCCATAGTAAGTTCTGAGCAGGATATGTCAGGCTTCCTGGCATGAATCCTGTTTCCTGATTTTTTTTTTTTTTTGGTGGTACTGAGATTTTAACTCAGGGCTTTGTGCTTGCTAGGCAGGTGCTCTGCTGCTTGAGCCACACCTCCACCCTGTTTTCAAGTTCAAGTAAAGGGAAAGTGACATCGAACAGTCAGATGCAGGACATAAATGTCAACAGCCAGACACTTAGTCAAACACATAGTGTATGTTATTTTATTTAATCCTTCTAACAATCTTGTAAACTACATACTCTTTGTTTTTCTTTTTTTCTTTCTTTTTGGCAATACTGGGGTTTGAACCTATACCTTCTAGGCAGACACTCTACCACTTGAGCCACTCCCCCATTCCTTTTTATTTTATTTTATTTTATTTATTCATTTTTTGCTTTAGTTATTTTTTGGGTAGGGTTTCACATTTTTACTGTGGCCACCTGCGGAACAAGATCCACCTACCTACTTTTCCACATAGCCAGTATCATAGATACATACCACCATACCCAGCTTGCTGGCTGATATAGGGCCTCACGAAAATTTTCCCCATTGAGCTGGCCTGGAACCTTGATTCTCCTGATCTCCACCTCCTGAGAAGCTGGGGTTATAGACAGGAGCCACCATGCCCAGTCCTATAAGGCACATATTATTATTCTCATTTTACAGATGAAGTCCATGAGAGTCAAAGAGCTTAGGAAACTTTCCCAAAATCCCTAGCTAGGACTGAGTCTAAATTAAAACCTGGGTGCAGGGCTGGGGGATGGTTCAAGTGGTAGGCACCTGCCTAGCAAGCACAAAGTCCTGAGTTCAAACCCCAGTATCACCAAAAAAAAAAAAAGAAAAAACAAAAATAAGACCTAGGCACGTCTGACCCCAAAACTGATGCTCTGTTAGTTACACTGTGCTGCCTGCAGCAGAATTTCTCTATGCTAGTTCAATTTATGTTACACTGACACTGCGTTTTTCCTACCTCACACACAGCAGAGGACCTGGCACACAAGAAGCCTCAAAAGGTGTTTCTAGAACTGAACAGAGGAACCGTGAACACATTTTTAAGGCAAGACCCAAATTTGCCTTAGGCCCAAGAGATGCCCCTGTGGACAGTGACCATCAAGGGTCTGGTTAGAGACCAGGAAGTGGGGAAGCTCCAGATGCATGTTCTCTGTAAGGTAGGAGGAAAATGGGGGTGGGAGAAATGTTACAAGAATCCAGCTTCTTGGTTCTATTTGAGCCTTTGGTTGAGGACACTGCAGGTTTCCCAGACTTTCCTCATTGCTGCTGCTGCATTCCTACCATTGGGTTATGCTGACCCGTGTCCCAGATCACCAACCATGGTGCCAGAACATGCTACCTAACCTCTCAGGCTATCATCTGTAAAACAGGTGTAAGACTATCTGCCTTATCATATTACACGATCCTCATAGGAGTCAATTTTTTAAAAATCTAATTGACTGCTTTGCAAACTTGAAGCCCTGAGTTCAAACCCCAGTACCACCAAAAATAAACAATGTTACCAGAAAAAGTCTAAATGAAAGTGTTCATAAATTGCCAAGCTTTCAACATATCAAAGAGCTTTGTCAGCATGTTAACCGGACACCTAAAGCTGGAGAGAGGACACACCTGAAGGCAGGTGACTCCCCTAAAGGAGAATGAAAGTGAAAGCTTGAAACTCCAGAGACTAAGAACCCAAGCCCTCACCATGAATTTCTCAAGAACTGTCTTCCTCTAACCAACACCCAAGCCCATCTCTCAGATCCTCGAGTGTGAGTAGTAAGAATTCAGAATGACGCCAACTACATGCCAGACTTGAGATCCACTGTTCAAGTCACTTACAGAACAAGGAAGTCCCGATTCAGACTGAAGGGTGCCTCTCAGGGGCTGGCAGGAGGAGAAAGGGGAAAGATACACAGAACACAAATCCCAAGGTACTACATCCCATGGATTCTTAAAAACCTGAAAGTCTCAGGGAACACCCTTAAAATGGCAAGATGCAAAAAAAGTTGAGTCTCCCAAGGTAACCCCGAAGACCTGCCCCCACAGTGACCTACTTCCTCCAGCTAAGTCCCACCTCCCAAAGTTTCCAGCACCTACCAAAAGTCCTGAAGTAGGTGTAGCTAATCCCCATCTCACACCCTGCCATCATTCTGCTTCCCTGGAAATGCCCAAGCTCCTTGTTTATCATCAAATAGAAGAAATGTGATGATGGCAAGAATACAATCTGGGCCTATAAGACCTGAAATTATAGCCCATGCACACACCTGCACACTTATACATGCACAACCTGGTTCTCAGAGAAGCAGCACCTTCAGTGGGAAGAGCAAACCAGTGTTTGAAAGCCTGGTTGGTGAGGAAGGGGCAGACTTACCAATGAGAAGACCGAGAAGGAGCAAAGACAACTGTGGAAAATGGTCCATATTATTCACCCATAGACTGAGCTGCCTCAAAAGCAGCTGCTGGACTGTGCATGTGTCAACATCAGCCCACAAGCATTTCCTGTTTTTAGTGTCACCACTTTAATCATGTAGTTTTTGAGTCACGAGATAAGAAAGTGAGGGGGCATGAAAGAAGGAAGGATAGGAATCATCAGCTTTTTAAAGTCAAAGTTAACAATGTCACAATATCATAGCTTGCTTTAAACCTTTTAGGGCTCTAGCATCCCCTACAAGGCTAGGGTCAAAATCATGGTGGACAAGACCCTCCACAATTGACTCACATCTTGCCAACAAGCTTAGCTTCATGTTCTGTCATCAAATTTCACACCTTGGACTCCAAACTCTGCAGATTGCTTCTAAAGCAGTTTCCTAATGATTTCTTATCTTTGTAAGTGCAATCCTACTTAGTACAGTTTTGCTTATTGGAGTACCCTGCCACGTGCCTTACCACAGCATCCTCCCATTGCCCATCTCAAGGCTGAATCCATCAGTACCTTGGGAAAGGCTTCGTGGAAGCTCCGGGCTAGATTGGTATTAGGACATCCAGCTTCTCCTGACACTGAACTTTGGCACCTCTGATTCTTGGACCTTTGATTGCGGACTGGGACTTTACTATCAACTTCCCTGGTTTTCAGTTCTTCCAACTCAGACTGAATTACACCAGGGGGTTTTTTTATTCTGCAGCTTGCAGAAGTCAGATGATGGGAACTGTTGCCTCTACAATTGCATCAGGCAATTCCTGTAATAAATCTCTGTTCCTCTCTGTCTCCTATATGTATATATCCTATTAGTTCATGCTCTTTCTGTCTCTCTCTGTGTCTGTCTGTGTCTTTGTGTCTCTATGTCTCTCTCTCTTTCTCTCTCTGTATGTGTGTGTATATCTCTCTATAGATAATTAGACAACCCTAATACTTATTTTATTACTGAGAATGGCTCTATAGGAACTGAATTTTAAGGATGACTTTTCTGAGTTGGTTCTGAGAATTCAGCAACCTGATTAGATTTTAAAGTGTCAATTACTCTATATATCCAATAGTAAAGGGAGCACTGAAAGTCCACTATTTGAGCTGTTTATAGACATATGCAAAATATCTGTATTGGATATTCCTAGTCAACTATTTATCTGAAGTAAGAACATAACTGACTATATTTGGCACTTAGGAACATCTTTGGAAAACCAAGGACTATGATGGTGGTGGTTGGTGTTTTAGTTTTATCATGGCTATGACTAAATACCTGACAAAAACTACTTAAGAGAGGAAAGATTTCTTTTGGCTCAGTTTCAGAGATGTTAATCCACAGTACTTGACTGTGTTGATTCTGGGTCCATAGTGATTCAGAACCTCAGGGAGGTGGGAGCAAGTAGAAGAGGAGGCTGTTCATCTCATGGTGGGCAGAAAGTAGAGACAAGAGGAAGACATACGGGAAAACACACTCTGAAGAGCCCATCTCCAGTGACCTACTTACTCCAGCTAAGTTCCACCTCCCAAACTTTCCAGAACCTTCCAAAATAGCATTACCAACTCGAGACCAAGCCCCAAAACATGAGTCTTTCTAGGGTATACTTCAAATCCAAACCATAACAGTTGGTTTCTCCTAATATCACAAAGTCATGAAAGAAAAGAAAGCGCTCAGCAATTCAAATCCCAAGCTTGAATGCACCATAAATAATCTAATAGCCTCTAGGTATATCCTAAAGAAGAGCCTTATCTCCTGTAGCCACAAATATCTGAAAATCAAACAGAATTTCATCCTGAAATTGGCTGAACTACAATGGAAGTTGAACTCCAATTTCAAAAAGAGGGGGGGCAAAGCAGAAAAATGAGATGCTATAAACAAGGATGGGGAAATGTGAGAAAACCCTGATGAAACTGGGGACATTGAGTCCCTAAATTCTGCTGAGTCTTCTTTACCAGTGGAAGAAAGCTTCCCACATACAATGAAAACCTGTCTATCTCCTACAAAAGTGGATTCCCAATCCAAGTAGACCCCCAATGTCAGCAGCAGCCCTACCCCCAGTGGTAGTAGCCTCACCAATCACAGGGTGTGGGCCTCTCCACACCCAGTGATCTCCACTTTTCTGTGGGGATTAACCATGCATTGCCTGAGGAAGCAGCAATGGCTCCCCCTAAGACAATTGCTTGCAAGACAATACTGATTCTCCTCAGGACCCATCTCCATCAGGGCTCTTTGCTTATATATCTATAACTACACGCAAGTCTCAACAAATCTGTAAAAGGAAGATACAAAGTGTGACCTATGAGGAGATACGCTACACTCCCAAAAGAACTAGTTCAAGTTTTTTCATTGATATTGCAGAAATTCAGGGAACATGTATGAGAATAGATACCAACAGTATGAATAATGTTGGAAAGAACATAAAGTTGGATCAAGTTAAATTTGATATGGGCTCACCAAGTTGATTCTGCATCTAATGCTACATCCTAGGGGTAGATGTTAAAGGGTCTCTGGTGTTTGGTTGGTTAGATGAAATATGGACCAAAAGAACACCCAACATGAGCAAACTAGAAAAACCCAACTTCCCATGGTTTAATATAAAAGAAGTGACTCTAAGACTTAGGAAGATTGGAATGTTAGAGAGGATTTGTCATTTAAGGCCTACTCACCCACACTGGGAGCATCTAGAAGGGTCTAGAAGGCCTAAGTTTCACTGGTACTTTGAGAAATTTGTGAGAAGAGTCCCAGCATATGTTAAGGGCTTCATGAACACTCTTTAATGTAGCCCAGATCTTACAGTGGGAACCACAACACTCTGCTGAAGGACCAAATGCAAGGGAATAATTGTCCTGGGGTGGCAGGGCCAACCAAGTGCAACCCAAAGGCAAGGTGGGTGTGGTTATCATACTAGACAGCAGAGTCAATGAAGCAATAGGAGTAGTGTGACTCATAGACAGCTATGATATTGCTAGTTGATCATGATGTTCCTAGAGGTAAAATAGATACAAAGCCTAGTAAGTTCTTACTTGCTCTGTATAAGCAGAAATGTTCTAGATCAAGTGGACAAAAGTCAAACTTGAATGCTAAAAACAGAAAGTCACAATCAATTCCCAGATTTGAGCCAGCCAACAGACCCAGAACCCTTGAATGAAGGAGAGGCTAAGTCCCCTGGAGAAAGGATGCTGGAACCATACTGCAATATTATGCTGTTAATTTTTCTCCAAACCTTCCCTCAAAGGTACCTACAGCATTTAATCAGGGCAACATGCTTTGGATAAAAGAAAATAAACAGAACTTTCAGAAAATAATCAGGAATATTCTAATGCAGATGCATGTGGAGTGGCTCAAGTGGTAGAACGCCTGCCCAGCAACTGTGAGGACCTGAGTTCAAACCCCAATACCAAAAAAGAAAAAGAAAGCCTAATCAGTTGTGTAGGAACAAAATCCAACATGCACTTTTTTTTCATTTTTGTTTTGTTTTATTTTGGAGCACTAGGGGTTGAACTCAGAGCCTTAAAAAAAAAAAAGAAGAAGTACTGTACACTGACTTCAAGAGATGCAAGGTCACTATGGCTCTTTAGTCAGAACAGGGACTTATGGAGGTCAGGTGATCAATAGAGTTCTAGCTCAGATCCAGCTCACAGCAGGCCCATGAACTCATCCTGTGATTATCCCGCCAGTTTTGAAATGCATAATTGAAATAGAAATGATTGGCAGCTGCCAGAATCGCCACATTGGTTCCCTGACCTATTGAATGAGGTCTATTATGGTAACAAAGACCAGGTGGAAGCCATTGGAAGTTCCTCTACCACAGAAACAATAAATCGAAAGCAATACCATATCTCTGGAGGATTGCAGAGATTAACACCACCATCAAGGAGTTGAAAGATGTGATTCCCGCCCATCCTCATTCAACTCTTTCATTTGGCCTGTACGGAAGAGATGGACCTAAAGAATAGCAGGGATTTATCATAAGACCAAGCTGATAGTGACTCTAATTAAAGCTATTATACCAGATGTAGTTTCATTGCTCAAATAAGCCATCACATCCTCTAAGACCTGGTACGCAGCTAGCAGTCATACAATTGATGAATAACAAAAGTCAGGTAATTAACTTTTTTTCTTTCCTTGTTCACAGGCTTGTCAGCAGTTTACTTTCAGCTGACAAGGCCAGCAATCCACCTACACTGTCCTACCACATAGGCATAACTCTCTGACCCTATGTCATAATTTAGTTCACAGGGATTTTCTTTTTTTTTTTTTTTTTTCATTTTTCTTTTATTATTCATATGTGCATACAAGGCTTGGGTCATTTCTCCCCCCTGCCCCCACCCCCTCCCTTACCACCCACTCCGCCCCCTCCTTCTCCCCCCCTCAATACCCAGCAGAAACTATTTTGCCTTATTTCTAATTTTGTTGTAGAGAGAGTATAAGCAATAACAGGAAGGAACAAGGGGTTTTGCTGGTTGAGATAAGGATAGCTATACAGGGCATTGACTCACATTGATTTCCTGTGCGTGGGTGTTACCTTCTAGGTTAATTCTTTTTGATCTAACCTTTTCTCTAGTTCCTGGTCCCCTTTTCCTATTGGCCTCAGTTGCTTTAAGGTATCTGCTTTAGTTTCTCTGCATTAAGGGCAACAAATGCTAGCTAGTTTTTTAGGTGTCTTACCTATCCTCACCCCTCCCTTGTGTGCTAAAGCTTTTATCATGTGCTCATAGTCCAATCCCCTTGTTGTGTTTGCCCTTGATCTAATGTCCACATATGAGGGAGAACATACGATTTTTGGTTTTTTGAGCCAGGCTAACCTCACTCAGAATGATGTTCTCCAATTCCATCCATTTACCAGCGAATGATAACATTTCGTTCTTCTTCATGGCTGCATAAAATTCCATTGTGTATAGATACCACATTTTCTTAATCCATTCGTCAGTGCTGGGGCATCTTGGCTGTTTCCATAACTTGGCTATTGTGAATAGTGCCGCAATAAACATGGATGTGCAGGTGCCTCTGGAGTAACAGTCTTTTGGGTATATCCCC